GAATAGATCCCCGCACACCACGTGGATTGTTGGTCCACGGGAAGCGCAGCCACCACCGCAGCAGCAGCAGCACACGCAAAGTCAAGCGCAAGGGATGGAAAAAAGCAGCCATTTATTTGTTTCTTTTTGGAGGGTGGAGGATGTCTGCATATGTTGTTATTGTTTTTGCGGAGGGTAAACTTTCATGCCTGCATCGTGTGTTGGGGTTCCTGCAGTGTGCACAACTGTTTCCTTCTCTTGTGAATTTTTATTGTGTTGGTGCAGCCAATAATTCAATTTGTGTTGTTCCTGCTTTTCGCTGGTAAAGTGCTGCAATAGATGCTTTTATTTCCTCCTTCGTTGCTGTGGCACCTGATTCCTCGCCGTTTATTGCGGTGGAAATGAGAATATGTGAGGGGACTCCCACGCACCGGAACGCACCTTCGCTCCTATTTATTGCTGCACAGAAGGGCATGCGTGTTTGGTGGTGCCTCGACCATATATTTCGTGGGCGTACATTCCCCTGCAGGCTGAGGGCGGGGCGACGCTCCGTCGCGGTGCACTTCCCTCGCATGCCGCCCACTCTGATTCATCATGCATCACCCCTCACATACTCCGTGGTGCCACACCGTCGATATTATTGCAGCCGCTGTGATTCCGCGTATTTCACGCATTTGATTGTGCCACAATGCATCCGCTCGTGTGGCCGCCGCATCCAAACAGCGGTGCCCAACACCGTGAGCGGCAGTCCACATCCTTGCATGTCCCAGCGCAGTGGTGCTTGACTGTCAGCCAGGCGCCAGACAACACGAGAGTATTGTGCCGGCAGTACAACACACGGAGCTGCAGCGAATGACTCGGGCGGCGACGCATCTATTTGTCGCAAAGCAGTGAAAAGGAGTCGGGCAAAATAATGCCGGCTGCATTCACGACACCATACCCACAGCCAAAGCATGCGACGTGATGTGTGTTTCGCTGGTGCTGTGGAATGCCTGCAGACGACGTCACTAGTGGAGGCACACCACCCATGATCAGCGGACAGACAATAATCGGCACGGGAGGCCACAAAAGGCAGCAACGACGCCAGCAGCTCTCTCTCTCTCTCTCTCTCTCTCTCTGTTGCCTCCGAGAAGCAAATATTCCACCAGCCACAGCCGGCTGTGCCATCGTGACACTCCATGCACGTCGTGGCTGCGTCAACACATCCTGCTCCCTGCAGCGCCTCAAAAGATGCCTCACTCCGTCCACTAAGTGCATCGATGCGGGCCGTGCCCGGGCTGTGCGTGAGGACCACAGCGATGTGAGGGTCACCGAGTCGCAGCATGTTTGTTGTGACGTTGTTGCATGGCACCCGCACACACACACACGCAGCGCCTGCATCCCTCCCTTTTGTGTCGCCCTCCGCCGGAGTGGCCACACACACGGGCAGCAGCAAACTCATTTCACCCTCGACGATCCAAAATCAACACCGACATCCCTCGCCACACAAAGATCTCAGTTGCCAGCACGGGCCTCCTGCCGCCCTGCCATCGACGCCGAAACACGGCACAGTGCACGCACTTATTTTCCTCGTGTGCAGTCAGCCGTTTGCTTCACACATTCTCCGACGGGCTGACGCCCACAAAAGCACGCCACAAAAGCCACTGTCATCACACAAGCTCTTGCGATGAGCGTCGGTGTGTGCATGGATCCGCTGCTCACACGTGCCGGCAGGCAGCCTGCAGCCGGTGCCCTCGTGCCAGTTCATCGGTTCCAGCATGGGAAAGAGAAAACGGCCAATTCCTCGTGTACTTATTCCCACCAGCAGCACCAACACGCTGGTCGCCAGCCGTCATTCCTCAGCACATCCAGGAATGCCGAAAAGTGACGTGGAACTGTCAGCCAGCAATGCCACAATCCCCGCACACATGTCGGCTCCACCAGAGAAGACACACAAACCACACACAACACCCCTCACATGTTTTCCGAACATCATTCCAACACACCGCGACACGCCAAACAGAAGTATTCGTCACTCCATGCACCTCCCCACACAATCAAATAGTCCATGCACCACGCACGGCAGCAGCTCACACCCGTCTAAACAAGTGTTCCTCGGAACAGTGTTGTCCACGTGCTGCATTGGGCTGCCCCGGCTGAGGCGAGCTACTGTCGGAAATATTGTTTGCGATCACTCACCCCAACGCAGCTGCGCAACCAGTGTTGGGCTCGACAGCACAGGCGCGGGAGCCCGCAGACCACAGCCAGCACTCGCCCATCGTCAACGGTGTCGAACGCAGTCGAGATGCCGGTCGGGACTGCGAGAGAGCGGCGACGGCGACGGTGCAGCGCGGGACGCCGCCCCTGCGACGCCCACACTCCACGGCGATGCGCTCGCTCAGCCCTCGTGCCGTTTTGTCACGGACAGGCGTCACCACGTCGGAGACCGTGCGTCGTGGCGTTAATCGAGGCTGACGGCGGTGGCGTGCCGGCAGCGCTGACAGGCGGCGGTGGACCAGTCCCTCGCTCACCCCTAGCAGCACAGAGAGCAGCGGGAGGGCCGACAACTCCCCGTGCGGCATGCGTTCTTCCCGTGTCTGCGGATGCGAGTAGTGTCCCCCGTTTCCCAGGAACTTCGCAGGCTGCCGTCAGCAAGGGAGGTGCTACTCATCGTTCTGAGCGAGAAGCGGGCTGCGGGTACAAGATAGCGCAGCAACGCATTCAATACACCGCCGGGGCCAGGGGCCAAGACAAGCGAAGAGTCGCGAAAGGACAATTCAAGCGCACACAGCGCGAAGGGCCAAACCACATCCCGGCCACCAGGGGGCACGCAAGCACGAAGTGTGCAGACGGCAGTGGGGATCGCGGCAAGTGGGATTCAGACGATGCGACGGACGAGCGGGTTTCACTGCTGCCGGATTTCGTCGGCGCTTACCAGCGCTACACGTGTCGTCTGCGTGCCGTAAGTGACGCACAGAGGCAAAAGCTACTGCGAGGCGGAGACGTTGAGCGGAGCCCGAGCCCCATAGCAGCACTCCAGATGACCGTTCCCTCACTGACGCCGGCCAAACTCGCAACATTAATGGCGCAGGGAGCAGACATGATAGCCATCCGGGAGACCTGGAAGTCGTCGGAGCAGATCGCCAGCATGCATACTGGAGAGTGTGTGCTCCACGCACAATCACGTATCCGCAAGGAATGTGTTGCAGCGGTGCTGGTGCGGAAAAACCTCCGCTCCAAGCGTATGCCCCTCATCACTCCTCAACGTGATTCCAGCCTCGACGTGGTGGTGGTCCAATTCGCGCTGGGCCAGAACCGTGATCTTATTGTGGCGAGCACCTATATGAGGCCACCGCCGCAACCGACACAACCCCTAGGCGGTTGCTGAGCTGCCTCTCGGTCTCGTCGCCGCTCATTCCGTGTGGAGATTTCAACGTGCGTCGCCCACGGTGGGAGCCCTTCCTGGAGACCCCTCCAAGCAACTCCGCTGTAGAATTTTATACAACCGCGCACGGATGCAGGACGCACCTTGGTTAACACCCCTGGTGAGACAAAGTGTGCTCGTGGTGCAAGAGAGAGATCCTGTATCGACCGGACATGGTCAAGGCATCTTACCGTGTCCGACTGGACAGCCAACGTGCCGCCGCTCAGTGACCACTATGTGTTGACATTCACGCTGCATCAGGCATTTAAGGACACCATGCCCTCGGCACCCACTTCGGTACGTCGAGTTTTCTACAGCTGGTGGAAGTCCAAGTGGGAGTCCTTCGCCAACGACCTCGACGCACAACTTCCAGCATGCGAACATAAAAAGCAATCAACCGGCATCAAAGCTTTTACGAGAGCACTTGCGGTTTCACTTCGACGGCATTGACCCCGCGGCATGCACAAGGATGATCCCAAGCTCCGGGGCGACACCCTTGCGAAGGCAGAGCGGATTGCTACCGACAGCAAGGCCCGCTGTCTGCAGTTACCGACGCCCGACCGTGAAGCAGAGACGCAACGGGCAAGGAGCCAATTCTTCCTCCTACTCCGTGAGCGCTCGCGCAGC